CTGCCGGCTTCCTCTGCTGCTGCTGCCCCGGGACCTGCTCAGCCGCTCCCCTGCCCGCAGGGGGCCTGGGGAGCCAGGGTGGCAGGGAGGACGGTGAGGTGGAGCTCGGTGCTGGGTGACATGGTGGTTACCAGTGCTGTGGGGGAGGCTGGGAGTGTGACTGGGACTGTCGGCACCACTGATAGCAAGGGGAAATGTATGCTGTGGGAAGGGGGCTGAGGTGGGCCTTGCAAGGCTCCTCTGGCATAGCACCCTTGCTGTCCAGTGCATGGAGGTAGTGGCAGGTGCTTGGCTTGCTGGCAGCCTGATGCAGGCAGACACTCTGCCTTCCTGTTGACAGCCCTCCTAATGTTGATGGGATTGAAGACCCCCCCCCCCCCCCATACCGGACGACCCCCCCCCCACATACGGGCAGTATTGCCCTGATTTGATCCCCTCCTCTCCAAAACCTGATCCCCTACCTCCTTGCACTTCTACTCCTTGCCTGGCTCTCACATGCCTGCTTGGTCTCTCTCTCTGTCTCCAGCACCTCTGGTGGTAGCATCACAGGGAGCCCAAAGAATTAGCAGCCACGAATGAGCGTTGAGGGGAGCAGGGGCTCTTCGAGGGGAGAATGGGAGAGACCTAGAATTGGTGGACTAGCAGGGAGTAGCTCCTCTAGCTCATTAGCGCTTGCCTCCTCTCTGATTTGTCATAATAGATTTCCTCCACACTGTTTTCTCCTCCCTGAGGGCATACAAAGCCCCTCTTTTCCAAAGGCATAGCCCCAGTTCCCACATTACTGCAGCCCTGTCATACCCATCTTCTGCCAAACACTGTTTACTCCCATATGCCCCCTAGACTTATGCCCCAAGACAAGTCTGCCCCCCTATGCACCAGGGACTACACCAGAACATCTCCATTTTTTTATATCCATTATACTGCTGTGTACTCTATGGTTCTATTATGGATAACGGTGAAGTAGCACTTGATATCACTACAAATTCACTGTAACCACCCCACAAGTGTAAGAGATGTAGTTCTTCACTTTTTTTTTTTCTATTTATTTGTTTTGCTTCTGCTTCCCCATACCTTCCTGTCTCGTATTCTACCTTCATGTCCAAGGGATTTCTACCCTAGTTTGATAAACACTGCTTTACACTCTCCCTTGCACAGCTATCCCCTTGAGCACATACTGATATTTCATTTATAATCCCTACTAGCCATAATCCTGAGCCCTCATTGCCTGTTGTCCTGGGAAGGGCCAATGCATTTCTGTTTAAAGGCAGGTTTACAGTGGAGAGCAGGGTTCTCTGCAGTGTGCAGTAGTCTGGTCCTTGAGGAGAAGGTGGGGCTCTGTTAGAGATAAAGCATGCTGATGTTGGCAGTTAGCCACATAGTAATTATCAGCGTTGAGATATATAAAATAAGAAAAAAGAATATTCTCTTAAAACAAGCAAGAAAAACAAAACTATTTAGAATGGAAATCACTTCATAAGGAGGCCTACGTTCAGGTGCCTCCTTGCCTCTCTAGCAGACTTAAAATTGTAACATGCCCTCAGCTACACACTGCATCACACACAAACAACCTGCTTTGACTCCAATCTCAATTTTTTCCATGTAGAAACAGCACACAGCACACTTCAGCAGCACACACCTGGTCCTGATGGTGGCATTTCTTGGAATTCTAAGTAGGATGTAGAGGACTGTCCTGTGTGTACTGTGGCCGGCTGTATGCTAAAATGGCAAGGGGGGTTGTTTCTGAGTTGAGTCTGCCTTTGAATGGTGTAAATAGGGTGGCCTTCATTGGAGCCCTTTTTGAGTTTTAGTGATTGTGTTGGAAGGAATTTCCCTGGAGCAACTATCTAGTGTGAGAGTGGAAGGCTTTTAGTAGGAAAAGTAAACAAAACTACAGGAGGGATATTGGTACTTAATAAAGGCAAATGAAGTTTTTGAAGTGATACATTAGCAGAAGTTACATTTACTTATTTTTGTCCAAAATCTTTGTAGCTCAGACAGTTTGGAGAGATATATAGTTTAAATGGCTTTTTTTTTAAGTTCAGACATGTGGTGCTATAGGATTTTCTCTGAGTTTGTGTAAAATAAATATCTTTTTCTATCTCCTGTCACTTTAAATTGTGCCTCTCACAGCTGTTTAAGCATAAGGGCACAATTTAAGCACAAGCATGTCCTATGTGTTAGGAACTGGCCTGGAGCTCCTACCCACCATTTCTTACTAACTGTGACCAAAGTATTCCTCTGGCTCCCATTCCCAAGCCCCTCTTTCTGTGTTAAGCCTTCAGATGGATTCCTAGACAATTAGGGGCTTTGCAAATTGGGTCCAGATGGAGAAAAATCTCATTGATTTGAAATAGGATAGAAGAGTTTGAAAAATCTCAACTGTGTAACACAACAGCATGAAAGCAGCAGCCAGAGGACTGGAGCTCTTGGGAAACTCTTTCAGGTCTGCCACTGGGGCTGGTTTGTGCATACCTGGAAAGGGAGGTATCTTTCCCTGCTGAATACCATCATGGCCGCACCAGTAGCAGATTCCAGCACTGATAACCTTAATGTACATAGTCAGCAAGGGAGAGAGCCCAGCCTGGCAAGGGTTAAACAAAATAACATTTTATCATGATATCCCAAAATATCATTAAGTTCTTGTGATTCTTAATGATAACATTTTATATCATTATTAGAGTAGAGGAGGATATGCAGGGATACTGAACAGAAACTGAAGTCAGGGTTGTACATTTTTGCCTTAACTTAATTCACATGGAAATATTTAAGATACCCAAGAAAACAAAACTAGCTTAAATAAATCAAGAAAACATCCATAAAACATTTAAAAGTGATATTTTGCCTATTTTTTGCAAGTTTTTTAAATATATTTTTCTATCAGGTATGCAGATTATAATTTGCATGTGGTATGTTAGGTCAAATCCTACTCAATGTACAGGGGGATACTGTAGGTATGGAGAATGAAGATATGGGTTTTTTTTCCCAAATCCCTATCATGGTACCAGAATTTCTCTGAGGCCACTACTGCCATACTTGTAGTATGTAGTTGCTACTTCAGGGAGGAGAGCAGTGATACATGCTTGGATCCACGAGCTCCATCCCTAGCTTAGCCAGTTCTTGCTGTGCAGTTGAAGTGCAATGAACCTAAGAAAGTATTCCATGAAGTCCAGACCATGCGAGTCTTCTTGAAAGGTTCAGGGAATTCTTTCCCCTCTGCATTGCTGTTGAGTAGAACAACAATAATTGCACTCAAGGAGGCAATCTTGCTGTGAATTGGTGATATGAGTCTCAGACTGGTGGCTTGGGCTCCTTTATCTAGGTGGGTAGTGTTTTTAGCACCAGTTAATTGATTTTAGGCCTACTATAGCATAGGAGTTGGCCTGCTCATTTTGGTTCATCTCATCGCAATGAATGAAAGTAGGGAATCAGTGGTGATTCTCTTAGATCTGTCAGATAGCCTGTGTGTCACTACCCCTGATGTTATTGTTGGAATGTCCAACATTATCACACTTCCTGAAAGGTTTAGTCTGACTCCATAAATTTGCACTTGATTGTTGATGACACTCAGCTTTTTATCTCTAGCTCATTGGAGACTGGTGTAGTGAAATGACTTATCATGTCTAACTAGGTTTGAGACAAGGATCAAATCTAGGTGGCTGAGATACCAGTCCTGATGAAACTGAGAGAAGGCTTTTAGGCTGGGGAGAATAATTGAAACAAATAGAGGAAATGTTTGAGCACCTGGTGATCAGTAAGTTATAGCTGCAGTTTGGTTAAGATTTGCAACCTGAGGGTCTTGCTGGATCCCCAGCTGCTTCTGGATACTTACATAGCAGTAGTTGCCAAGAATGTTTTTTTCCTCATTTGGCTTGGCAAAAAGTTCACATCCTTTTCTTTCAGATGTGGATAATGCAAGGATATTTGTGCCTTCATCATCTCACAATTGGATTGGATTACTATAATGTACTTTAAAGGTAATATCTTTCTGCAGGTAGTGCAGAGTGTAGTGATTCCCTTGCAAAGTAAGCAGTTTGTCATGTTGGGGCTTGTTACTTTTTCCTCCATGATCTGAATTGGCTAATAATTATTTTTTGGTGAAGGTTTCAACCTGTCGCATCAAAAGGGTTTGACTCTTGTCACTTCATAACGGAGCTGGTATGTTTGTCCAAACCACTGAAGCTAGTCGACTCCTGGATTACATGAGCATAAGGCAGAGTAGGTTTGGACCCTCAGAGAGTAGCTAAATCAGAAATGTATAACATAAGCTTTTGTAAGCAGAGGGCTTTCTTTAGCAAGGGGCAATGCTGAGAGAGGCAAGATGGGCAGGAGAGAGTACAACAAAGCAAACCATTGAGGGACATAAGTCTTATAAAAGGAAATCCAGGTAATGGGATAAGAATCTGTAGTATCAATTTAGACCATACTTACCACAGTCCAGTCTGGATGATTTTCCTGTTCAGGTTTGTTTTTAAAATGTTGTTTAAGAACAGCTACTCTGAGGAATGTCTAGAGAGGTTAAAGTGTTCTCCCATAGACTTTTGTATCATTCTGGAATTGGTGTCAGATTGGTATTTATTCATTCTGACATATAGGGATCTCCCTGTCTGTCCATTGTAGACAGGAGAGTTGCACTATAAGCAAGTGATGGCATATATGACATTGCTAGAGGTGTAGGTAAATGAACCTCGGACATTATAATTCACGTGATTTTATTCCAGTAATGATGTGGTCTGTTTTGATGAGGGGGCACAACTGCTACCTGGGTCTGGAGAAAGTGTCTTGGTGCCTTGGTGAGTTAGGTAGTCTGTTGGGGAGATGCCATTTGATGTTGGGGGGCTGCCTGTAAGCCAGGACAAGTTTGTCCCCCATGACTACCTGGAGATGATCATCATTTTCTTGGAGGGATTGGAGGTCATTAATGATGTGTCTCAAGTGTTCAGTCTGGGGGCTGTAGGTGACAATCGAAGGAATTTTGTTGCCCTTGTCTCAGGGTTGATATTGTAGCAAGCCAGAGCAGGGTATGAGTCTGGATCCATTGATCTGAATGGCTACCATTTTAAGACTGTTGTAATTGTAGGAATCTCTGTTCCAGA